GGTTTGCTCTCTAGGAACTCCTAATGTAGTGTGCACCGTGTGGGCCTTTTTGCTGCGGATATGCAGAGGGGTGGTGTGGGGTGGAATTATTGTAGAGGGCAGCACGGACGCCGCCTGACCTTTATTGGAGGGATGTGTGGTGGTATTCCGTGCTTCCTTGCCTGCGTTGTCGCATTCATGCTATGAGTGCGGATGGCCACAGTAGTGGAGCTGAATACGGTTCAATGTGTGTTGCTCACGGGGACTGCGCGACACATGTTTTTTGTTGGGAGGCCCCAAGGAGGGGCGCATCGCCGTTGCGTGCTTCCTGCGGCAGTCCATTACCCTGCGACTGTGCGTCCCGCCGTCCGCTGCGCCGCTGCGCCGCCGCAAGCCTTTGTCTTTGTGAGAAATGGGGAGCGTGACTGCTGTGGCGGTGGTCGAATGTTCCCGAATTGGTGCTTTTGGTGATCCCACTTGGAGCGCCGAGCAGCGAGGGGCCGCACACGCCCAGGAGGTGGGAGTGTGTGCTGCAACCGCACCTGCGATTTGCAGTTGGGATGTGACATGTTTCTTTGGTATTTTTATTTTTGGTGATATGCGGGGCAGCGGTGTGTTGGCGCGTGCGGGCTGCTCATGGCTGCCGGTGTTGCCTTTCCTGCTGTTCTCCCGCTCAACTCCTTTGCGTGCGAAGGAACAAACTTTTTACGGGCGTGTGGTGGGGCCGCGTTCTTGTTTGTAAAAAAAGCCTTTCGCAGGCATAATGAGTCTGCCGTCCGTGCCACACGAGGCAGTGGGGAGTTTCCTGGGATTTATTGGCGGGGCGGCACCGCACCCATGCCGTGTGGTAGGTTTGTATTCCGCAATGCACGGTGAGGGGGATGTGCGGTGACAACTTCCTCCAGTGGAGCGACACGAGCAGCACGGGGAGCGGAGCGGAGGAGTAGTGGCTGCGTGCTCCCACGTGATATGTGAATGGCGAATGCAATATGAAAGGCGGCGTCACGGCACTCTTTTGCCTTGCACACCGCAGATATTTTCCATAAAGAATGCAAATTGCACTTTTTTCTGTTGTGTGGGAACTTACCGTGATGCATCGCTGTTGTGCCGTGTGTTTTTGGGTGTCTGCATGTGGTCGCTGTTGCTGCAGCGAATTCTCCTCCAACTTTTGCGTGTTTGTGCCCGCGGTGATGTGCCCACGTCCTCTTGCAGAGTGTGTGCGGTGACAGCGGTGCCACACGGGTGCGGGACCGTGGCGAGCGGTACGCGTGAGCGGACCCTCCGTGCGCACCACGTTATTATTGTTTGCTCTCTCCAACACTGTGCTGGGTGGATGGTACCCACTTGCCGTCGTTGCGGTTGTCCTGTGCATGTGGTGTGCATCACACACCGTGTGGATGACTCTATTGCTGTGGCTGTCAGTCATAACTGTGCCTATTGTCTTTCTTATTCCTTTTTTTGATTGGTGGTCAGTGTTCGGCTTTAACTCAATCCAACTACGAAAACAGGTATATAATCGATTCCCACGCGGAAGAGAATAATTAATAGTCTTCTCTCAGGCGCGGATTTCAACGAAGTTGGCTGAAGGATGGACATGCTGAAGGGATATTACGAGTCTGTGTACAATGCGAGTTGGCACCATGTCATGGAAGTTCCTGACGGCGAGGGGACGGGAATGGATGTGGGGGAGGGGGAACCACCGCAGTCATGGACGTACAGGGCAGTTGGCCGAACTCTCGAAAGGAATGACGCTGTGCAGCAATCCGGTGCAGCAAGTCTCAGGCTGATGGTGCTCACCTCGGAGAAGGGATGGCCGTACTCGTGGAATGTGCTGCATGGGGCTGGCAATGACTTGTGTGTTAACTGCGAGGTGGATCGAGTGTGGCAGATCGTCGAGCGCGATCTAACTAAGTGGTTCAGCAATTTTGATTTGACTCTCAATTCTTCACCTTTGCCGCGTGTGTTGATTGGGATGCCCGGGATCGGGAAGTCGATGAATGCCGGCTCGTACCTCCTCTACCAGCTGCTGCACTACGATGTGGAGAAACTCCAATTGGTAGTCCACTGTTTTGGAAAAACGACGTACGTGTTTGACAAGACCAGCAGGACGGTGACAAAATACATGGGTAATAAAACATCCAGCAGTGTTTTGGGTGGTTTGAGGCAGCGTGGGGTGAAAGGGTACATTATTTACGATGTGGCAAAGGAAGGAACACCGCCCGACACGGGTTTTGCACCCTCCACTGGATGGGGCATGATTGTGGTGTCATCGCCAAAGGTAAGCAACTATGCTAAATGGGCGACGCAAGTAAAAGCCAGTCGAATCATCATGAATTGTCCTGAGAAAGATGATGTGAAGGCGATGTGTGCGTGGATGAAGCGAGGTCTGAAACCAGATGAGCAAGCGGGATACTGGAAGAAGGTCAAAGAACGCATGGATAAAGTGGGGCCGATTCCACGTTACATCTTTGATGAGGATGATTATATTGATCGCATGGGTGCCGTTAATGGTGCCTTGTTGGCGATCAAAGATACTGATGTTGAAGAGTACTTTACCCTGGGAGGAGAAGAGAAAAAATGGTATTCTGAGTATCCGTGTCAAAAACTTTTGAAGGTCGTCCGGGCAAGAAAAGTTGAAGGTGCTGAGGGATTTTTCAACGCACCGATATGTTCTGATATCGAGTTTCGAATTGCAGACCGTTTGGCAGAGAAAAAGGGTGCGAAGGATTTTTTATTGCTAATAATGGCATCGCGTGGTACTCTTGTTTCCCAACTTCTGGAACAATTAGGTTTGCGCGCCTTCATGTATGAGGAGTTTATCAGTGCATTATTAAAGGAACTCAATGAGCTGCCGCCACCATCGCCTTCCAAACCACGGTCCTCGGTGCTGAATGTAAACCATCAAGGGTACCCCACTCGTGCCGTTGGATTAGAGGAACTGCAGGGTGGTGTCACGAGGATTCCGATGGAGTACGGGGTGCTGTACATACCGGCGGTCCAAAACTTTCCGCTGGTGGAAGGCTTTTTCTTTGTTGATTCGCCGCGGAAGACGCTGGTCGGGCTGCAGATGACGACGGCGGGTGAGCACCACACCATACCCAGCACTGTGAGGCTGTTCAAAAATAATATGGCGACATATTTTGAGGGTTGGGAGGAATTATCCCGAGACATGTCGTGGGAGATGATTTATATACAACACGAAAACAGCACAATGATAACGAACTGGCAGAGATGCGGTCCCGTCAATACCGAAAATTTGAGCGACGATGAAAAAGAGATTGTGGCGTTCTGGGACGGAAGGGTACACCAATACCAGTTTATGTTAACACGTGATTTTGTAAATAAAATCCGAGAAAAGTGAATACAGAAATCTTTTAGAAATGGGATAGGGAAGAAAGTTGGGGAAATAATTGGGGAGCAAAGTGCATTTCGTTCTGGTGAAATATATTGGGAATTATTTTAACGATTTTTATATGTGTGTGCCTACGGGGTCTAGACAGTGAGTGCCTTTCTTTTTAGAGAACCGTTGTGATCGGCAGTGCCACACTCACCACACCCTCTTTTCATTTTATTTTATTTTTCCACCGGAGGCGCATCGTCACTGGAGGCTGTTGCGCACTACAGGGGCCGCAGAATTTCTTTTTATTTTCATGGGATTTTGTGAAAAGAATGCCTCTGAGGGCGGCTGGCTGCCCAAGTAAATTCATATCTCGCGCAAACGAAGATATCTCTTTACAGCTTTTTTCTCTTCTATCGCACTGTCTTTTGGGAGACCGCGATTGAGGGAGTCAGGGAGCCGACAGCTGCCAGACGGAGTTACTATTATTATTATTTTTTATTTTTGTCTTCCTGCCCGCCACCCACTTTGTGATCCCCACCTTGTGGGTGGAGGAGCCCCAAAGGCCTGCCGCCTCGCGGGGGATAAGTGTTTTTATTTGTAACTGTGCGCAGCAGTCCACGGAAGTGATTGACGGAACGTGCATATATTTTGGGGGAAACATTGCGGCGAACTCATTGCCTCTCCATTTACCGCTTTTTTTCTCCTGTCCTTTTTGGATAATTTCAGAATCCGGCCAGCGGCCCTGAAGATTATTCAGTGTTTTTTACCTCTCGGTCTCTCCCTTTTCTTTCTGCCTGTCTTTGACCCTCCTGTGTGTGCATGCAACAAACACACAGCGCAGCATTCAATGTGATATTCTTCCAATGGAGGCGAAAGCCGTTTTCGCTCCCACCAAACCACGACGCCGTCCTTGCAGCTCCTTGCGACAGTGCGGGTGGACGGCAACACGGTGCAGTTGAATTGCCCCCAGCCCCTGAGGGATGCAGGATTTGCGGTTGCTGGGGCCTTGTTTGACGTCGATGAGGCGTTGGACGTGCCGGGCGCAAGCACACTCTTCCGAAAATTGTGTGCCACTGCCGCCCCCAACTTTACTCATGAACGCCAGAACATGGTGGCCTTCAGCTACGGCGTGCGTTCGTCACCAAAGCGACAACTCATGTACGGCTCTGCAGCCGGAGAAGGATATGCTGCTTGAGTCATCACTGAATTTATTCGGCTGGGCGCCAAAAAGGACATTTTTGCCCTCTCATGCCGCGTCATTGGGTCAACAGAGCACCGCGCAGACCTTCTTGACGCCGACAACGAGCTCGGCGTTATTTTCGACTCCCTAAAGGAGGGACCTCGTGTGCGAATGGTGGCGCGAATTTGTGTCTCATTGGCCGGCGACGTTCGAGCGGCGATGGACACTATCGTCAAAAACTATGAGAAATACTTTCCTCCGTGTTGTGTGAAAAGCAGCCAATGCCTGAGCTGGAGGCAATGCCTTCCTATTTGCCCGACACCGTCGTTCTTCAGCTTCACCGCGATGATGGTGAGGCGGAGTCTGAATATTACATGGATGCAAACTCCCTGACATTTGTCGCCTTGGGAGATGCCGGACGGCCCGCTTTGTGTGGCATTGATGCTGCCGCGCAGCTACACCACGAAGGGGTCCAACGAGCACTGGTGTCGGCAACAGGAATTGTCTCCAGCATTCGCCGCCGTCGTCTGCGTATTCCCTTTGAGAATTCAGAACTCAGTGAGTTGTTGCGCCGAGCGTACAATACGGAAAAAGGCAACCGCAGCAATAGCCTCACTGGTTCTACCGAGACGGCTTTATTGGCTCACGCCTTTTTGGATGCCGTGTGGGTGGAGGAATCGTTCCATTGTTTCTCCACGACTCGTCGTGTTGGCAATATTCTTGTCTCGACCGGAATTGGATCCGCCACAAGGGATCTTGCCGTTGACAAGTGGCGTCCTGATCAGGACATCATGGAGTTGCGGGATGAACTCATGATTGCCCGGACCGTGTACGACCACAGGCATTGTGGCTATGAATCCAACACGTCCATTTCAGGCATAAAGGGGTAAGGGATGAAGCGCGTCAACGCCATTGAGAGCAACCGTGAGGAGGCGCGGGAACGGCAGCCGAGTGTGTTTTGTGAGCGCTCCAAGCATGAGGCGGAAAAGATGGCCAAAGAGCTTGAGCGGAGAGGTATGTCCACGTTGGATGAAATTGAGAGGACTCTGGAGACGAAAAAGCGGGAGAACAGTGCTCTGCAGGCTGACCGCGAAAGCCGCATTTGGGAGTACGAGCATACGGTGGAGAAGATCCGAACGAGGAAACAGACCGAGGAGAGTGCCTCGGAGAGGTTGCGGCAGGCGATGCAGCAGCTGGAGCAAGAACTCAGCCTACGGCAGAGCGCCATTGAGACGAGGGAGCAGCAGCTCGAGATGGTTCAACTTGACAGGGCGAGGGGCGAGAGGCCGTCATGCGGGAGCGGCATTCTATTGAGGCGGTGCGAAGGACCGTCCTGGAGGAGCGGCGCCGCCAGCGGAGGCAGTGGATCCATCAGGTTAAGGAAATGAATACAAAATTCCCGGAACCGGTGCGTCCCTTGGCCGAGGAGCGGAAGAAGAAGCGCGAGCAGGCGACAGCCAAGGAGGACGTCGCCGAGAGGGCTCTTGCTGCCGACGTCAAAATGATCGAGGAGTATTTGCCGAAACTCATTTCCCTTGAGGACATTCCTGTGAACCCGGGCTAGACGGGTATCATTCGATGCCAGTTTGACGAGGTCTTCACGCAAGAGGAACAGACATACTTGGCCGGCGCTGAAGAGGAACAGGCCCGCAAGGAGAGGCTGGGACGAGGACTCGAGGTGTATCGACAGCGTATGCTTGATGATTACGTGGCAAAGAAAAATGAAAAACTGCGTGACGCCGAGGCAACGGAATGCCACCTCAGTTCTGTTGTGGATCGGGTGCTGAATTACTTACGCAACGGGGTCTGCGTGACAAAGATACCGAGCAAGGGCAATGCTCGCAGACGCCTATATTTTCTCTTGGAGGACTGCAAACGTATTCATTTCTGTGATCTGGACCGTCAGGGATTCCCGTTAAATCGCAAACGGCCTCCAGTCACAATGTGGATACGTGACATCGAAAAAGTTCTCATCGGCCTGTCCACAACCTCATTTGTGAACTACAGCGACGAGGCACAGCTGGCAAAGACACGCCAGGAGGCAGTTTCTGACAATGGGACGCACCGCCATGATCCCACGCGAAACATCACTTCGTCCAGCCTTGGAACAAACAACCACCGCGCATTCGCACTTTTGCTTCGCGGTGGGAAATCACTGGAGGTGTTTTGTGAGACTGACAGCGATTGCGAGGCTTGGCTTGTTGCTCTCAAGCGTCCACTGCATTTGGGGACTCCTGCGGAAAGGCTTCTTGAGGAACGACGGGGTACGTGAAGAGACGCGCGTGCGCAGGCGAGCGATAATGACGTGGAAATGCGGTGGGGCGGGCCACTTGACACCCGCAATATGCGAGGATTTGTTTCTTTGGCCCCCGATGCAGCAACTCTTTGCGGCGAGGATTGCATTCCGCCAGCTCCTGTTCCACCCGAAGGAAGAGAGCTGGCGGAAAAGTCTCAAAGGAGCACAATAACCGCCTGTGGCGTCCGGGTTTCCTCGGGCCTGGACCTCTTTTGCTCTGGCCGACTTTATGACTAATTGTGCGAAGAGCGTGTCGTTCCGCCTCCGTACTAATGCCGTGGGATCTTTTATTGTTCTCTTTTTTTCCCATGGCTATTTGTGGTTTCCTTGTGTGCTCTTTTGGATGTATTGAGGCGGCTGGTTGGAGAGAGGCTAACTGCCGCACAATTTTGTGTGAAGAGGACTTTTGAACCCCACGTGTTTGGGCTATTAGCGAGTGAAGAAAAAGGGCAATGATGGTCACCACCACTACTGCTGCTGCTGCTTCTTTTTTCCTTTTCTCTGCTGCCTGTTTGAAATAGGCTATCCATCATTTCTTGTGGGTGTTCCACACCCTTCTTCTCTTCTTCCTCTGTTTCTGGGTGCGTGTTTTTAGCACCGCCGTTGTGGGGCCGTTGCTTTGCCAA